GGGACATGCGAGGGAGGGTGTGGTGGAGGACAGGAAGTGTGGAGACTCACTGTGAAACCAATGCCGACGGTGGCGGCGAAGGACCCGGGGAGGAACTTGCCCTGGTCGAACTGGACCAGCAGAGAGGTCTTGCCCACTCCGCTGTCTCCCACGAGGATCGTCTGCGGGGGGGTAAGAGAGAGAGGTGACATTATGTTTCCACTCGCTCATCGCCTGAGGCCAGAACACTGTGCGTGTGGGCACACAAGCAGTGTAGGTTACTGTACATGTTCATCTGTCGCTCTGTGCAATGTGGCGGCTTAATGCCTTCAAGAGGGAAGGGCAATGTGCTGGGAAGTTACTGGAGGGTGTGTGTGCGTGTGTGTGTGTGTTTGGGCCTGAAACTGTGTCACTGTATCAGAGACAGCTGCTCACGTCTCAGGCTGATGTTCTTGCACCCGCAAGAGGAACACTAACCACATACATCTCTCTTTATTCTGCCTTTTATTTGAAACATATTCACCAGCAGTACATTAACTCAAGTGCTACACTTGTTCACTTTATGCCATTTTATACTTCTACTTCACTCCATCTCAGAGAGAACTATTGTACTGCTTACTCCACTACATTTCTTTAACAACTGTGTTTAATAGTTATTTAAATATCTCTCCAGGTCATAAAGAGGTAAAATGATCCAATACGTCCGAATAAAGCAAACATTAGAGGACATTTTGATAATTAAATGCCCTCAGATTGATGTTTTGTGAACCTTTGAAGGGGCCCGACCCCCAAGTTGGGAACCAATGGACTAAACCGAGACCAAGCCATGACCAAGACCAGACCGGCGCGAGTCCCACACTGCAAGGACAGACTTCAGATAGCATGTGGAACATGCAAACCACAGTCACTCCTCAAACTGATCTGAGACCGAGACAAGAGCGAGTAAAAATGCAGTCGATTCCGAGACTGAGACCTTTAAAAAGTGTTTTTGAGCCGGAGACTGATCTCGAGTAGTACAACAACAAACTATAGCTCCACCTCAACCAACACAAGAGTAAAAAGCAGCTCACACATCGATGCATCAGTAGTAACAACCGTCTGTACTTAATTACTGTGATGATGCAGGACTTGTAACATGTATTTCTGTATAATTCTATTTACTCAAGTAAAGGATCCGAGGACTTCTTCCACCACCACACAAGTCCAGCCTCACACACTCGTGTATAAGAACAGTGCCGGTGTGATAACATCACTTCTCATTAGTCTCCCCAGCAGGGATCTGCTGCTTTGACACCACAGCACTGACCGTAGGCATCCATCAGCCTCGTGGCCACGGTCATCATCTCATTTGGTGGCAGCTGGGGGATTCCAGCCTGGAGGTCCTCGGCTGCAGATGCTTGGCTCTTTTGCTGACATTTATCACCCTCCTCCTCCTCCTCCTCCTCCTCCTCCCTCTTATCTGCACTTTCAAAGAGCCCACATGCTGCACAGCATTACCGCGCTCTGCAGCTCGCTATACATTCACTTTACTCACCGACATGCACAAGTTCTGCACATTCCACTTGGCTCTCCCATTAGAAACGTAACATCGGGACAGTTCGGGCAGATATACAGAATGAAAATCTATCGGGTGCTTTGAAGTGGATGCTTGCAGAGCTCTTATTAAAGATGTGGCCGTCTAAAACGCTGAAGCAACAGTTTTTTAATGCTGAAAATACAGATACAATCTCCAGAAATGCAGCAAATAGAAGATGAGCTTTTTCAAACACCGCGTACGGGATATGAATAATATAAAATAGTGTTGTTCCACTTTTGAATTACCGGCATTAAGAGAGATGCTGCCTTTTTCTCTCACTGTGTGAGTCGGTACAAATTGGCCCTAGAGTACAAACGATGCAGGGCTGCCGTGTGCATGAGCCACACTGTGTTTGTGCCGCGTTCAGCTGGCCGTGAAATCAACATATTACTATTTCATGTCTCCTTCATCAACTTTTGATGCTGGCATGTAGAAACGTTCTCAGGACAAACGCTGGCGGGGAACGGAGCGAGGGGGGCAGATTATCTCCAGGAAGCAGATGTGGGGTTGAATGGATGGGGGGGGGGTGTAGAGATGCTGCATGTGTCTCCAGAGAAGTTTCATAATGAGATAGTTACAGTTACTGATAACTTCACATTCAGCCTCCACAGTGAGAATAATGACTGAACTAAAAAGAAAACCTCGTCCCTTCATGTGTGCAAAGTCCCTTCTTGTCTAACAAGGAGCAGTTCTGGCAAGATTTGGGGTTTTATACCTTTTTGCATATTCCAGCGTAAACTTTAAAGGAAGCAGTACTTCTAAGTTGTTTGGGTGTTTTAAGAACTGAGATCCAATTGGCCCGTTGCAGCCTGCAGAGAGTTGAGCCATCTGCCGGTAGTACGCTGTAGTTTCTGGCTGGCTGCGAGTCGGCAAAACGACTAATGTAACCAGAAACATGACGACTGAGCAGCAGTTTGTTTATAGCCTCGCGCACACACACACACGCACACACACACACACACACACACTGCACGATTAATTTTCCAAATATTGAACAGTTGAGTTATTGAGGATTACGAAGCTCATGAAGGAATCAAATCTTCAAAATAGCTTCAGTTTTAAAGCAGTAAAATGTATCTCACAGACTGTAGAAACATAAATGACAGTGTGTTACTACAGTAGTAATGTGAGCAACAGAAAATAATGTTTGTGTTTTTTACTGTAATAATAACCCAAAAAACTAGATATCAGAAGTGAGCTCTTACCAGCTTTACACTGTTAGATATGATACATCAGTGTGTGTGTGTGTGTGTGTGCACAGAGGATTAACTATCTTACTCATGAATACCAATGATTTAGTCTTTTCAGTAGTGAAGCTACTTCAGTGGAGGATTTTAGACGTGAGGGAGCTTCTAGAGAAATTAATTTTAACATACTGACGATCAGACGTCACCAAAAATGTAGCTATGAAATACATTTTTTATAAAGACTTTTGAAAAATATCTATAGAAATAAAAAACTGTTATGAAAACAATTGATATTTTGGGGGTTTTGGTTAATTTATATATTTTTCACAATTTACTTGCATGTCTTTATTTATGTATTTAATATTGAACACTTGAGGGTTCCAGTTCACAGTAAATGAAATGGATATTATTCATAGACTGTGCTGGAGTGTCCATAAACCTTTTATAAAGGCTTTATTAACTTCACTGTTACAGCTCTCCTGATAGAGGGTATTTATTTATTTATTTATGGGCAGAGGGAGCACACGTCATTTAATAATTAGGCCTGCAATAAATTGAGACTATTGATCTAAAATTGCTAGAAAACCATTCATTTTCATCAAGACCAGTGAATTGAAGAAAGAATCACCTTGTGCGTGAGCTCTTGGTTATAGGGGAAGGTGTTGGACATGGGCGTCTGTCCGTCCTCCGCGTCCGCGTCCGCAGCAGATGATCCGTACGCACTGTCAGAGGACACCAGCTTCTCCTCCTCCTGCCTCCGTGTTTCACACGCGTCCTCCATCACGTTTAAATTAAAGCCTGAACGTGTTTTCTGGACTTAAAGCAGACGAGCTTCTGCAAACAAACTAGACGTTGAAACTTCCTCTCAGCTTTGTCCGTCGGTCATCCCCTCCGGCCCTCCTCCTCTGCAGGATTATATCCTGAATATACGAGCGCATCACTGAGGTGTAGTTTACAGTATTTATGAAGTAGAAACCATGTCGGGCATCGCTACAAGGAAGCGTTCAGCACCCTGGAGAGCGCCTCCCCTTCTCGTAAACATGTCCTACTTCCTTCAGTGGAAACAGGACATTTAAGACATGTAGTCCATCTGGAATATAATAATTACCATTCTAATACCACTAGATGAGATATGTGGGAGAAAACAGCACTACAAAACCCTTAAAGTGTTTTTATTGAGTCATCAGTCAGGAGGAGGCAGACAGTGACCGGCTCCTCAGATAAGAGCCACAGCATGACTCAGCAACCGGACTGCTACTGGTTATCACAACAGCACGGACCTCAAGAAACCTGTCCCCCCCCCCCCCCCCCCCCCAAAACACACACAGTCTGCTTCAAACGACACCGAGCAGGTGGGACTGTCAGATACAACATGATGAGACAGCAGTGATTAATAGTTTAACAGAGCTGGAGATGAACAGACAACACACACACACACACACACACACACACACACACACACACACACACA